AAGAAGATGTCCAAAAAGGAGAAGTATTAGCCGTAACCAGGTCCAAAGCTAAAGCCGTACCTACCATAGAAAACACGCCCAAGGAACACACTCTCCCTCCACCAGTCATCTCACCTTCGAAACCTTCTGAGCCACTCATCGTCGAAAACCTCAAAATTCCTGCGTTCAAGTACGAATCTAAGGCCAGAGCTCCAGATGCGACTCAACGCATCTTCAAAACCATGCTAGAGACAGTAGTACTGAACCTCACCATCTCTGACCTTCTCACAGTAAGTCCAGAACTAAGAAAGGAAGCAGTAGATCATTGTCGAATGCACCAAGTCCCTGTGCCAACCACACCTCTGTCAGTCAACAGCGTCACCACGAGTACCTTGCCACCAGCGCAGATCGAGCACGCCACACCCCTGCGGGAGCTTCGTGTCACTATCAATGGTGTCCATTCTGAGCTAGGGCTACTGGATGAAGGCTCTGAGATTGTCGTCATTCGAGAAGATGTTTGGAAGAAGACCAATGCACCTATCAACCAGAATGTGCGCATGCGCATGCAGACCGCAAACGGAGGGAGCCAAGAGATGGCTGGATGCTTAGAGATGTTGGAAATAGAGGTAGAAGGTATCAAAACTTGGGTGCACGCTTACGTCATACCAGATGCGCCCTACAGGCTACTCTTAGGATGACCCTGGCAGAAACTCGTCCGCCTCTCCAAGTCCGAAGATAACGACAATGTCTACATCACCATCACAGATCCCCTCAACACCTCTAACACTCGCACCATCGCCACTCTTCCTCGCCCATGGCCATCCCCACCAAAATCCCTTGCACTAACAGCAGCTGTCTTCTTCATGTCTCCCCACATATCCCTTCCTACACCATCCTGCCAACAAGCTTGATGGACATTTATCATGCTATCGAACCCTCTTTCCCCTACACCATCCTGCCAACAAGCTCGACGGACATTTATCACGCTATCAAACCCTCCTTTCCCTATGCTATCCTGCCAACAAACTCAACAAACACCTACCATGCCATCAAGTCATTCCACCCTTTCTCCCATTCCAGCAATAACAATCTCCGCCTTCACTGAACTCATGCTACAAGAAAACTTTGACATTGATCCTGGCCGTCATATTTTTGTTTATAAAAGAGTAGCTAACAAAGTCAAACCTGTAGCAACAACAATGCCCGCCCATGCCTGCATCATTTGACGCATCCCAGAAGACCCACTCCAATCCCTCCCATGTCTCTCCCCAAATCCTCCAACATTTCATCCCGGCTCCTGTTTAACCCAAGAACGTATGGATGAACTCGGAATCCTCAAGAACGAGTTCCTATGGCCCGAGGAACATAAATTAGCTGCTCAAGTCCTCACCAACAATGAGCTGGCACTTGCCTGGGATGAAACTGAGAAAGGCCGCTTCCACGATGACTACTTCCCTCTGGTCATTATTCCGACCATCGAACATACTCCTTGGGTCCATCGCCAGCCTCCCATTCCACCTGGCATTAAGGAAGAAGTTATCAAACTCATCAAGTCGAAGATAGCTTCTGGTGTGTATGAAGTGTCCAATTCATCCTACCAATCCCGGTGGTTCTGTGTTGCAAAGAAAAGTGGGGTCGTCCATATCGTCCATGACCTCCAAGAATTAAACTCCGTAACTGTCAAGGACGCTGCTACAATGCCCTATGTTGAACTCTTTGCAGAACAATGCGCGGGACGCGCCATCTACTCCATGATGGACTTGTTTGTCGGATTTGACCATCGCGCACTTGCAGAAGAATCCCATGACATCACCACATTTCAGACTCCCCTCAGCACCTTTCGACTCACCGTCTTACCGCAAGGGTGGACAGACTCACCTGCTGTGTTTCAGAACGATGTAGCGTTCATTTTACAGGAGGAAACGGAGATAGCCCCCAACTTCCAAGACGACGTGAACGTACTCGGCCCTCACACCTGCTATGAGCTTAGCGATGGTACATATGAAGTCCTTTCTGCAAACCCTGGCATCCGAAAGTTTGTCTGGGAGCATTGCGTTAACGTTAACAGAGTCTTCCATCGTTTGAAACACGCCAGTGCCACTGTTTCAGCATCAAAACTCTTCTTATGCGTTCCCGAAGTCCTTGTCGTCAGTCAGCTTTGCTTGTACGACAGATGCAGCCCAGACTCAGCGAAAGTGTCGAAAATACGACACTGGCCACCATGCACATCATGCACAGAGGTCTGCGCATTCTTGGGCACCGCAGGAACCGTTCGAACATGGATTGAGGATTACGCGCGTATCGCGCGCCCTCTCACGAATCTTACCCGTGCTAATGTTCCTTTTGAATGGAACCAAGACACTCAGAATGCCATGAACGAGTTGAAGAATGCCATCATCATCTCCCCGCTATTCGACCCATCAGCTACACATCCTCCAATGAAGTAATCCTTGCGGTAGACTCTTCCTACCTTGCATGTGGTTGGATCCTTCTCCAGCTCGACGACAACGGTCGTCGAAGACCGGCTCATTTCAGTTCCATCACGTGGAATGAACGCGAGGCACGCTATTCTCAAGCAAAAATTGAGTTATATGGACTTTTTCGAGCCTTGCGCGCAGCTAAAGTTTGGCTCATTGGACTTAAAATGTTCACGGTCGAACTCGACGCAAAATACATCAAAGGCATGCTCCGAAATCCAGATGTTCATCCTAACGCAGCAGTCAATAGATGGATTGCTGGGATCGCATTATATGATTTTAACCTTCGTCACGTACCTGGAGAGAAGCACGCAGGTCCGGATGGATTATCTCGACGGCCCAAAGGACTGGAAGAGGATGACGGATTAGAAGAGACATCAGAAGAAGTGGAAGAGTGATTGGACGAAGTCATTGGATGCATGGTATGGAAAGAAGAAGACTTAGAGGAGGTTCTCATCGATATAGCAACGGACACACACCTCGTTTCGACCATGCCACAGGAACAACAAAACACGGACATCGACTTTCAAATTCCCATTGATAACGATGGGCATCAGCGCGACAATGAATTGCATCTGATCCAGTCCTTTCTCGACAAGCTCATGTTCCCATCCATGCTGTCAAGCGCAGATCGTACCCGGCTTTCCAAACGTGCATGACAGTTCTTTCTCCAAGGCGGACAATTATGGCGCAAGGATCCTGGAGGGCGCCATCAACAAGTCACATTCAAACAAGATCGTTTGCACATTCTACGCGAAGCTCACGACCGTCTGGGGCACAAAGGAATTTACTCTACTCGACGCACCATAATTGATCGCTTTTGGTGGCCCACGCTCGACAAAGACCTAGCATGGTACCTCAAAACATGTCACCAATGCCAGACTCGTTCCATGGCCAAAGTTGTCCTACCTCCCTCCGTCTCCCTTCCAGCCTCATTATTTCAGAGAACCTACACGGACACCATGTTCATGCCCACCTCGCACGGATACAATCGTATTGTACAGGCTCACTGCTCGCTATCCGCATGGGCAGAATGGTGTATGCTCAAAACTGAAATGGCACGCACCTTGGGATCATTTCTTTTCGAGGAGATACTATGCAGATGGGGAGTCATCGAGGAAATTGTGACAGATAACGGAACACCTTTCGTCGCGGCGGTCGATTGGTTGGCGAAGAAGTACAGAATCCATCATATCCGGATCTCAGCATACAACTCTCAGGCTAATGGCATCGTTGAGCGTTCGCACCGTACCATCCGCGACTCACTTGTTAAGGCATGCAACAGCGACATCACGCAGTGGCCCAAGATAGTGCCGCACATATTCTGGGCGGACCGCATCACTACCAGAAAGTCCACAGGTCATTCTCCATACTATCTCGCTCACAGAATTGAACCTCTCCTACCTCTTGACCTCACGGAAGTAACCTTCATGCTCCCCGATATTTCCACGCTGTTGTCTACTTCAGACCTAATCAGTCTACGCGCACAATAGTTGATGAAAAGAGACGACAACCTGGCACTTGCCCACAATCGACTTCTCCAGAGCCGCGTCGCATCTGTCAAAGACTTTGAGAGACGATTCAGCAAGACAATCCACAACTACGATTTCAAAATGGGTTCCCTGGTCCTAGTTTTAAATAAGAAGATCGAGCTGGCGTCAAATGCTAAGTGCAAGCCACATTATTTTGGCCCAATGATCATACTCTCACGCTCTCAAGGAGGTTCCTATCGACTTGCAGAAATAGATGGATCCGTTTTCAAACTTAAATTCACCGCTTTCCATCTCATTCCATATCATCCTCGCTCTCAAACATCCATCGAAGTCACACAATTCATCGACATTCAAGCCCTCTCCGGTATTGAAAACAAACAAGATTAAATGTGTCTCTCAATTTTCCTTTCCTCAATTCTACTCCTTCTACCTTACTATGCACTACATTTTTAGTTTATTTTGTTTGAAGATTGACCGAGGACGGTCGATATTCGAAGTAGGGAGGGGATGTAAGGATTGTATATCCTCTGCGCCCCGACCAAAGCTCCAAAAGGAAATCAGAGCACCATCGTTCGCAAAACCTCCACATGACCAAACAGATGTGAAGAAGTGTTACTCTTCACATCCGAGTCATGCGGATACATTTCTTCTTTTCATTTTACCTTTCCACTTTTTCATTATGTACCTTACTTTGCGCTCATATTTTCCTTGCCACCAAGTATTTTCCTTGCCACCAGTTATTTTCACTACGCCACATACTATTTTCGTATTTGATCCGGCCCAGACAGGTATTGCAAAACATATATATACATCTCATGTATTCTCATTGATAGCAGCGAAATATACCCTATCAGTCACCGCTCCAAGAACATCAGAAAGTCTCTTGAAAGTCGCGTCCACATCGCATCCTTTCCTCTTGTTTCGCTATCTGCTTTTACTTGTGCACTTTCCCCTTCGAGCTCGCACCACGGCCTTACACTGGTCACCCGGCATTGGTCGGACAGATGGAGAAGCCCCTGAGTGTGGCTGAGCAAACATCAATCATGTTGCTATGAGCACTAAGGAGATGGGCCCTGGAGCTCGTCGAGACACACTAGACGACCATTTCAGAGACTGGAATTGGAAGAAGATCACATTGCTAGGTATTTATCTGGTCTTCGCTGCTGACGTGGTTGACTCACATCTCGTCTTCAGGTCAAGTGTTGTTACAGAAGGTCATTGAAGCCGTCAGAGCCGAGCAAGAGCATCGTATTGCACTTTCCGAACTTGAAGACTCTATCCGAGAGTCTGAACTAGGTGCCTCCTCGCTCACAAAATGGAGATAAGAGATAGAGACTTGGGAGGTTGACCATACAAAACCTAATCCTTTTGAGAGACACATCATAGTATGTATTTCTTTCTTACAAGGATTGGTGCACTAACTAATAATCTTCTAGCTATGACACAGGCAGCCGTTCAGCTGGAGCTCACCAAACAAGATACCAAGGAGTTGGAGGATGGCAATGCTGTGTCTCTTCACTCCGAGGTATCTTGCAGTATCCTCATCAGCACCGGCATTGATCTTGAACATGCCCAGTGAGTGTCCCAAGTGGATGACACAATGAATATGCACTTATTTTTTTTTTCTTCAGATGTCAACTATGTGCAGATGCAGGATTACTTGGTCAACATCCAACTGACACTCAACAGACAAGCATTTTGACCCATAGCAACACCCTCCTCTGCCATATAGATGCTTGGACAATGATCCAAACTTTGTACATGCCATCAGTCGCAAACCTACGCGCCAATAGGTTGATTGATTTGTCAAGTGATGACAACAACAACAACAGTGGCTGTCCCAAGCCAAATCCCAACTCCGGAAAGGCTGAAGACTTGCAACTCCTCCTGCCTTCTGAGATCTGTGATCACAAACTCCTTAAAATAAAATGGCCTCTCCGGCTTGCACAAGCTCACGATGCACTCAACAAGTGTCGCACTCATATTCACCTTCATCAGCAGCTAGTGCAATTCAAAAACATCACATACGTGGTCAGAATCCCAACACTCGATGCTGTGGAAGAATGTCTGGTTATAAGCCACACAAAATACTCATGTGCACAAAAGGCACTCATTGCTCTATCCAATCACCTTGACCATGTTGGTTGGGAATGAAAACTACAGCTGCTCACGAGATCTCACCTCTGTCCTATGGGAGACTTCACGGGGCAATCACAAGGCAGGACCATCATGTCCTGGATCTGGTTGACGCATGGAATCTCCAATGACAATGCTGAGAGTTTGCAAGACAGTAAGTCTGCTGTCATTTAAATATGCTCATATCTAATTTGAGACTACAGTGCTTCATGTTGAGTGGTGCAAGGCCAGGGCACGTCAAAACTGTTGGTCCGAGGAAGTTCAACTTTTGTTGGAAGAGATGTGGCGAGTTCTTGCTTTTTTCAACTGGCAGGTGCAATGGTAGGAGGACTGCATCAGTTTGTGAACACTGGCTAGGTTGGAGGAGACCCAGGGCTTAATTGCATATGCAAAGTGGCAGGCATTTATTTGACGCAGGCTATCAGCATCATTCAGAGAGAAGTGGAAGGATATTCCAGTGTTGGTGGCCACTGGGATGGGTATCGATATGACAGGCAACGACAAGGATGAACATCTGTGCCTTGACATCCCTCCTCAAGAAGATTTAGTACATGATGATCATTATTAATTTTGTTGGTACCTGAGTTATCTTGACCTTTGTTTGACCCAGTGCCGAGTACCTTAGATCTACTTGGTGATTTATGGTGATTGTTGATGGGGGGGCAGTGTTACGCACTCAAATAGATCTGTTATGCGGAGCCCTAAGAGGGGTGTCGTCCGCTAATGTTTGTGATGTAACCGGAAGGGTCCGGTATAGCGAGTGAGACTGGCGATGTCGAGTCGGCAGATATCACAGACGCGCATGTCACATGACTTCTAAGACGGCTGTCTGTGAAGTCACTGAAGTCAAAGAAAGGACAGTCTAGTCCTAACGATGGCCGTCGATCGAGGTAGACTTAGATGCAACGAGCACCTAAGAAAGTCGTACTAGAGACAAGAGCTGAGAGGCTCTTGAAGGAAGTAGTTTCGAGGGAAGATTGAGTAGATTCAAGTTAAGGAATCTAGTACAGGATGGCTGACTACTTATACTAAGTGGAAAGGGTTGAGGGCTGGGTTACCATACTGTAGGTAAGGGTAGAGGGGGAACGGAAAGGGTATAGGTATGTTGGCAACACAGCCTGATTAGTGATGGGAGGTCGAATGCAGAATGAGACCGAGAAACGTTGGTCCAAACCAATGGTATTGATACAATGCACAGCAGGTGCGAGTCAGGGGAAACAGAAGAGGAAAGCCACATTGGTGGCATGAGTCTAGACGAGTCATGGTGCCAAGGCACATGCGCACGTTGGTGCATTATCAGAGATAAGGTGGATGATGGGGTGGAGGCGAGGGACGGGAACAGTCCCGAGGATCCGGTCAACGGATATCCAGTAGAGGAGGACGAGCCGGTAGATGGTGAGGGTGAGGATGAAGGGAAAATGATAGGGGGGCCATGTGACCGATGTTACTTGTAACAGGCAGACAATACTTACCTCGCCCAGTGCTGCCTCCAATAGAGAAATGCTCACCGGGCACAGCCTCCAATGGATAATTGCATAGGAATGATGTATCTATGCATGGATAGCTAAAAAAAAAGATGTATGGGGGTTTTTGGCTAATAAGCCAGTTAGATATATCCTTCCCCCACTGATAGGTGGGGTGAGAACTGGAATGAGGGCAGAATACGGCTATTGAGGTGTTCGAGCACTGTTTCAAAGTGGTCTGACCACTTGGTGGGAACAGATTCGGGGTCGATGGTTGCTCTGCTGTCTTCTCTGAGATGGGGTGCACACATGTACTTTAGCCTTCCTAATAGAAGTCTGTTAGTTCCTTCCACCAGCCCATTTACCCAAGGCACATAAGCAGCTGTGACGTAGTGTTTCATGCTGTGCTCTTCACACCAAGCCTGAACCTCCATGTTATTGAAATGTTTCCCGCCATCAGTCATAAGTGTTTCTGGCAAATTGAACTCATGTCAGATCTTCTCCAGTCCCACAATCATTGTCTTTGCTGTCCTGTGCGTTTTGACCTTGAATCCACAAACACATTGTGAGTACGTATTGATGATCAAAAGAATATTAGTAAACCCCCCTTTTGATTGCGGCATTGCTAGATACTCAAGCTATAGTGTCATATTAATGCATTAATTGAATGGTAGTTACAAGACTCATGTTGTGCATTAAGTGTTGTAACTATCAGTGCACCAGCCTTTAATTTACTTCTAATTCCGCTTTTCACTTTCCAAGACAGAATATAATCATAGCTGACCACTAACTAACTAACTAACCACTAACCTCTAACTAACCAACAAACCCTCTAACATCTAACAATACAACCCCCAACCTCTAACTAAAATTAATAGTTATCATTATGTAAATGTGTCATAAGTCATTACAATGATTAATGCACAACATGTGTCTTGTACAATAGTAATGTATTATTCCCACAGGATCAGGTGAGTATTGTGGGAATTATAGGTACATATACCACTGTATTTTGGGAAGGCTTGAGTAGTGCCTGTCATCACATCTGTTCTCACAGTCATGAGTGCATCCTTCAACTTGTTACTTCTATTATCTTCAACAAAAAAACAATAGCCTATAGTGCTTGAGTCAAGTTAAGCTTAACTTTCTTTCAGTCACCAGTCAATTTAGCACCTGCCTTGTATTTATACATATGATTCTGTCTTCTTGCAGGAACTGTAACTTGTTGGTACCCAATTGATTGCAGGGCTGCAAGCATTGAGCTGGAGGGTCCCACTTGCCCTAAGTCCATTCTCTCTGAAAAAATGAAGAGCCTCGGGCTGGGGATGAGGGAGGGAAAATTCAGTCTTAGTTGGAATGACTGAGGGAAAGGAGTATTGTAGACACTGAATATTAAAGGACCGTTGATACGGAGTGAACGTAGATGGAACATGTATGATAGGTGAATGTATTTGTAAATAGATACGTACGAAGGATGTATTGTGATATCGGCAAGACGCAGCGAATGATTGTCCTGGTGACTGTGCATTATAATCACTGTCAAGAAAACGTAACGAGGATTGCTTCCGTCTCTTGCAAGTCTATTCCAGAACTGATAGGTAAGACATCGACGGTTAGTGGTCCACTAACTCTACCGTCGCTGGTCTCGTACGTCTGACCTCCCCAGGTCAGATTACTGGTGTCGGAGGCATAGCTACAGATAGCTTTAGCATCCAGGTCGCAATGATGATGAAATCAGCTCATACCCAATTTTCAGCGTCTTCACGCTCGTATTATTGGGAGAACATCCGAGGCCCGTGAAAGAGAAGTCGATGTGAGTCGAATTCCTTGCACCAGCGCCGGAAAAGTACGCGACCGTGTTTATGAAGACAGCTTTTGAGAGGCTTCCATGCTCAAAAAATGCATAGCCCGATACATTATTTTCATCGATGGAGATTTCGACTGCCTGCGTGGTCCCAGATGACCCGATAGCCTCTGCGACGATGATAGCCGCATAGTATGCTGGCTGTACGTGCGGTGCCAGCGGTGTAATCGGGGAACCGTCCAGAATTGAGTAGTTAAGCGTCACGGGTTGAATCTGCTCATAAAGGGATTGAGTAACGCCGCATTGACTTAGATGAGTACTGACCAGATTGTACTTGTAGCCAATGCCCTCATGAAAGTGCATGCGACTAATACCAACTTGTGTGGCATACAAAGTATAGTCAAGTAACCAGAGGGCGGCGCCGGCTGTATTGCTAACATCTGGTGAAAAGGACGATCACATGTAAGTTATTGCGACCATTGTTCATGTTGTCGACCTTACTAGGTGCACCGTGGCAACTGATACCTATGAACAAGTTATCAAGTCTAGTGCTGTCGGACAATTATCAGACAATAACTTACTGTTTGTCTCCCCGAGGATGTACTTCAGCCCGTTGGCCAAGGTCGCCTCAATATCTGGGACAAACGCGGATAAATTACCACGGATATAGCTCTTGGTCATTAAGTCCTGCAGCGCAGCTCCGCTGCCGGTACAGAATGAGCCACTATAATGGTGCTGCGAAATGCTAGCCAGGGGATTCAGCACGCCATCCAGATTCTGAGGTTGTGTTTGACATACGTCTCGATCAGTTGACCTGCAGGAGATTCAAGAATGCCCAGATTAAATATAGCTTGCGGAGAGAAACCGCTAAGGTTGTTGTGAGAAGACCCAGCGAAAGCGGCTCCGATTAATTTTGTGCAAGATAACTTGGAAAGGTTGGCGGTTATCGATACGTTATATGCAAATTCCTCCCACCTATATATCGGTCAGCACTAATGAGGAAGTCGCCGTCATAAACTTACTCAGAGACATATTCTTGTACATTCCAGCTGCTGTTACGGCTCTTATGCTTGTGGTAGAGATCAGCCTCGTTGCCAATTTCGATGAACTTCAGATCAATGTGTTTCTCTAGGACAGCGGGGGAAGAAAATGCGTTCATGAGCGCGATAGTTTCGAGGTAGGCTGCCGTGATGTTGTATTCCCTCAAGTTCAAGCCCCAGTGAACTTGCGTCCCTGAAAGTAAAGCAAGTTAGTCGCTTGAGAGTCTCTGAAAAGTTAAATTACCGTTGGGAAGATGAGAGATGATATCATAGAAGCCTTGCCCAACAGTTATATTAGTGGCTTCTGGGTATGGCGTGATTGTGCTTGAAGGAGGGAAAATATCTTCTTCGTACTATGCACCAGCTAAACACACGAACCAATTCACATTAAAAGAAATTTACCTCGACGTCATGGCTGAAATCAGTATGGTCCTCCGAGTCAGCACCTATTCTCACGAAGGGAGGAGCATTCGTAATTTGGATAAAGTTATCAAGGACGTTGTTGAAGAATGTATTCGGTTCTGTCGTGCCAGCCCATTCGTTCCACCTATCTTGCTCGATTGAAAGCGAAACGAGGTTCCCCTTGAGTGGTGCTGCTCCCAAGGGCGCAGTAAGAGGAATTGTGACCTCTATTGCCGAGACGATTGGAACGACGAGCGTGATGAAGTGTGTACACCACATCATAAACCGCGGCATGATGTCTTCTTGGTTCTGGTACAAGCCAGGCTAGTCCAACTCCGAGATCCTATATACGGTTGTAGGCGGGATGACGATCCGATTGGCCGTCTTCTTATGACCGGCAAGGTGTCGTGCGTGGAATCTGTACAAAAATGAAACATGAAATTATGCATCACGATGAGGACGCGAGCTCGGAGTAGACTAGTATACCATGCTCCGAAATCTTTGCAATTAGCGGGTTTTCTCTTTTTGGAGGTTACGAGACCACGTCATACTAGTAGCTCTGACTGAAAGATTCGATTCACGATCGGTGACAATTCCGGGACCCTGTTGCAAATTATGGCATCTGCGCATTCTTGATGTTGTCATTCCCGAAGATCCAGAGTTTCCGACCGTCCGAACGTTTGAAGAGAAGCTTGATATTATCAAGTAATGGATGAGTCCAGATTCTCCAGCGCAGGGGAGCATGTGTTTGTGTATCACAGTGCTAGCGAGCTGAAGAGTGTAGCCGCATCCACATAATGCAATGCTGTCACGTTTGATAAACAAAAGCCGAGGCGAACAGGATAGCCGAAATTCTCGGCAGAAACAGCAGGCGTCAGCATCAGAAGACCCCCGCGAGAACAGCAAGCACGATTACAAACTCCAGAGTGGAAAGACTGTCAGGCTATCGATATTTAAAGGGTCTTGGGATTCCCGGAGTGCTGTTCAACGCTATTCACAATCGGTGAAAAGACCATTCGACGTGACTATGTACGGTGTCTCCGGATTATGGCAGTTGCCTAAAGTAGTATGCTGATATAACCAACTCCGTTCTGCTAAGGTGCAACTCTCTATCATGGCAGACGTCCGTGCCCTACTTAAAGCCAAACGCCAGGAAGCACGAGTAACCCATTCACTAGCATCTTATACGACAACTGGACAGTTGCGATGCTCCGTCTGCGGAACGAATATCAAGCATGCATCTGCTTGGGACGGTCATCTCGGCAGCAAAGCACACCGTACGAACGTGTCTCGCGCTAAAGAAGAGGAGAGGATTAGGGAACAGCGACAGGCTGCACAGGAGGCTAACGCCGCTAAAAGAAAGGCAGTCGAAGATGTCCCTGGCGGAGATGCAGCCAAGAAGCAGAAAACCGAGCCTGCTACCTCAACTCCTCGTTCTAGCGCGTTTCCGTCAGACTTTTTCTCTGACCCCTCAAAAGCACCACCATCCCTTTCAGATAACTCGGATGACGAAGAGATCGACTTTTCTATAGTTGCTCCCGCGAAGGAATCGGGGCCACACACTCAGGCTGTTGCCGTTACTCAACCAGAGCTTGACCAAGAGTGGATCAAGTTCCAACAAACGGTGATTAATGCGCCTGATGCACACGAGACATATGACCGGGCGACTGTATTTGCAGAACCGAATCTGGTCTCTGACGTGGCAGAAGGTTTCCCTCCCCTGCAGGGTGAGAAGGATCCTCCAGAGGTTGAGGCTAAATCAGATCCGGACGAGGAAAGGCGGAGGAAGGATCAGGATGAAAGGGAAATGATAATGGACCGCTTATTAGATGAGGAGAGGGCACAGGAAGAGGCAGACATGAAAGTCAGTGTACTGAAAAGTAGGTTGGAGGCATTGAGGATAAAACGAGAGGCTGCACGGACAAAGCCAAAAATTGCGGTGTAGCAAGGTTTTCGATAATTCTTTATTTCCTCGATCGACTCTGATCATCACATGTTCTAGGTGTAATATACCATGATTTGATTGCACGGCATGTATTTTGGCGTCTGGCCACCGCCAGTGCTCCATCCGAAATCTGGCCCTCGTCCACGCGCACTTGTTCGCACATTTATTTTTTAACACGGACTATCGTCTTACGCTTTCACCCATCGCAAGTGAATTCAGTGCACGAATGAAGACTTCCACTTTCAATTATAGCTAGCATTGCTTGCACGAGCAGATCATTTCAAGACTCTAAAAGCTAATGCAGATCAACCTTGACACTCCCGCTTCCCTTTCACAAATACTTGGCTCAGAAAGTACGAACTTGTTCAGTTTCTTGACAATGTAATTACATCTCCAGCCCTCCATCCGACATTCCGCCGACATGAAACTCGTTTGAAATCGGAATTCCCGAGTCAGGAGATATGCAATGATGATATGTTGGACGCGTCTGTGGCCGCTTGGATTAACGCGAGTCTGAATTATCTCGATTGTGGCAGGTACGATATGCTGCAAAATAATCAGCTGTAAGGGACAGCAACCCGATAGTTGGGGGACGGACCGACTCGTTCAAAAATCGATGGTGGAGAACTATGTGCGACTTCAAGATGTACTCCCTTGCGTACGGGGGCGCCCTGTGCCTCGCGGGATTAGATGTCTAAGTCTGGAAGCACACATGTGGTCCTCTCGATCAGGGTTTAATAGCTGCCAGATGAATGGCCCGCGAAGTAGAAGGTGAAACAATACCTCTCTGTAATGTGGCTCGCCGCAGATCTAAAAGCCACCATAACTTCCAACAACGGCCGGAATGTGCGGACCACGTGCCGGGCTACAATGCCAGCATATTGCAACATGGCGCCCAACAACTCATGCACGCTCATTATTTTCCGGGTATAGCGTAATAGCGCTGGAGATTGGTGTGAGGGACGTAAGGAGGAGAGAAAGAACAAGCAGGATGTTGTCATAGACGATTGAATTTTATATTTGGCCATCTACGCTCACAAGTACTGGCATAACCTCAGGTAACTACTAGTTCCTCGATATGGCTCAACTACCAATGAAACAAAAACGTCTCGAATCAAATCAAACGTCTGAAATCAAATCAAAGCTCGCAAACTCGCTGGTAACAGGCACGCATGAGTGTCCGAAGACACTATATCATCAGAAGGAACGGCATTCAGAGACCTTATACGTCGTTTGTACTCTCCCCAAATACGTCCTGCAAGCCGAATACTATGCACGTGCCATGCCTGCGCTAATCGTGACAACACCTTAGGTTCTATCGTCGTACTATCTAGCTGCGGGGGTAAGACACCCGCATTACCACACGCAAAGTTGCCCATATCATGAGACTGGGGGTAATACACCCATTTCTGTCTCAGTCATGTTGCCCACAATACGCGCAAGTGGGGGTAGCACACCCACGTAAAATATTGTGGCCAAAGCCTCGCGTCGTCAGAAAACAGGCACTGAGCCGCTCGCTGGTGGCTCGGTCACGTGCGAAGTTCAGCAGCACAGCGGACAATCTTGGCCCTTGGGCAGATGAATTGAAAGTAAGTTTGATCTGACGTGTGAAAACTTGCAGTGGCTATAGGCATAATATGTCAAGATTAATTGGACAGCTTATACTTTTGGCTTTGGTATATCTGCTCCATCTGACGGTACCTCATCTTGCATCCCTACCCAACGTCTCCATTCTAGCCCTTGCTTGTGAACCATCATCAGGGCCAGCATCACCGGTAGATACCACAGGTAGTTTTGGAATGATGTCCTTGCTTCCTTTTCTCCACAACGCCGCCACCAGGCCCAAGAACCACGAACGCAAATTGCGTTCGGGACTAAGCTTGTGATAGCAAAGGCCCACGTAGTCAATCCTGACAGTGGGAATAAGATAGAACAAATAGGGACAAGGAGTAAGGAGTGGCGCAGAGCCACGAGAGCATTCTGTTGTGGGTTTAGCACGCACAGCATCTTGTAGCCTGCTTGAGCGTAGGAACCTCGAATAAAATGCGACAATGAGTTGAAGTGAGGGAATTGCCAACTGTAGAGAAGCATGAATAGTGCGAACGCGCCAAAGGGGTTGTCAATCATGGACATGTCTAGTGGTGCCTCTGTGAAGTACGAAGGAAGGAAAAGGTGAATTGGGTAATCTGCAGATGGGAGAATTTTTCCACCACAGGCTGTCCAACCCATGACCGGCGGGATACCACCAACGACTGCGCCCACCCAGGTATTGGAGATGCTTTTACGTTTTAACCAAGTGTATGCCGCTGCATAAAGTACAATGTTGGCTGCGCCTAGACATGCTGTAATTGGGCTCGCCATGAACCACAGTACTGCAGGACCTGCTACTCCTGTCACAGCGGCAAACCCTGCAGCGTGCAAAGGGGAAATGGCTCTGCGAACCAACGGTCTTTGGCGGGTGCGAGCCATTTGAGCATCATAAGGTATTTCTTGAAGTTGATTCAAAGTATTCGCCGAGGCTGAACACAGGGCCGTGCCAACAGCTGTGGAGAGAAGAATTGGGACCGTCGCAGGAAGTGGTGAGAGAGCTACTCCTGACATTGCGGTCAATACGACCAAGATAGTCAGGCGTGACTTGGCAAGCTGCGCGTAGATCCTCAGTAGGCGTCTCGGGGTGAGTACTTCAACTTCTTTGAAGCCTGCGGGGGTGACGTGAACTGCATCTGGTTCTGCAACTGCATGTGCAATGCCCCGGACGCGAGTCATATCAGAAGGCTTTAGCCCATCACTGCGAGCGGACCACAGTTGATTGTGGCAAAAGAAGGAGGTAAAATCTCGACCCGCAGAAGACACAGTGTATGGTCTACTGAAAGCCGCGGAGGCCAGAAACCTTTGGCTAGCGAGAGAGCGTGATGTACTTGACGTGCGGGAAATAAAAAATTTGCTACATGACTGGAAAGCATGTATTTTTCTCATTTCTGAATACAGAGGAGTGATTTGTGAATGAGCTTGCTGTCACGGATAGCAGCGACCAACTCACCTGCACCAGCGCACAGACCAAGGTTTCAGTCAGCGGAGTTTGAACGCCGTCTCACACTACGACTCGTTACACGTTTCTAAAAAGTTTACAACGAGCAGCTTAGTGAGCTCTTGTAATTGCACCCTCAGCATTGTCGCAAGGTCCCGTCTTAATACCTTGCCATGCCTGGCACACATCTCCTCCCACCAAATCTTCTAAAACTATTTGCACCACGACCGCCTCTTCCCTATGCACGACCAGTTGGCAAAGACATTCATCGTGTAACCTCCAAAAATGTTGATGGTGTTGCAAGTATCCTAGCGCGACTCAAGGAAGCCTCAACTGCAACATTAATCGCGGGGAATGGTGAAGTTGGAGACGGGATGGAAGAAGGCGAGGAACCTGCATTCACACTGGCCGAAGAAACCAAACGGCAAATTCGGAGAGAGGAACGCAAAAAGAAAAAGACAGAAGAGTTCAAGATCGCAAAGGAGACCTGTGAGTGATCATTTTTGTCGACGTGATATAGGTCCGCTAAGCATTTTCATATTTCTAGACAAGCCTGCAGATGATGCGGAAGCCATTGGAGACCCATATAAGACGCTCTTCATATCACGTCTGGTTAGCTTCATCATCATGTTAATTCTGTGCGTTTTGCTCACCTTTTGATGTAGAACAAAAATGCAACCGAAAGCGACCTTCGACGCGAATTCGAGAGTTTTGGCACCATTGAACGGGTAAGGCTTGTGCGGGACCAGAAAGGCCGTTGCAGAGGCTACGCATTCATCGTCTATGAACGCGAACGAGATATGAAAGGTAATGATGGTAAAAGTGTTGTTTCTTTCATTTGTACTGAGCTCTTTTTAGCGGCTTACAAGGAATCTGATGGTTTACATATCATGGGCAAACGCATACTTGTCGATGTCGAACGTGGTCGGACTGTAAGAGGGTGGAAACCCCGTCGTCTTGGTGGAGGTCTTGGCGGACGCCCCAAACCAGTCGAACAACCCGTATTGCCCCCTCCAAGAGTTCCCGGTGGACGAGGCGGTTTTGCAGGCGGTGGGGGAGGGGGTAGGGGTGGAGGATTCGGCGACCGGGGCGGATTTCGTGGCGGTCGCGGTGGAGGATTTAGAGGGGGCGGTGGTGGCTTTGGGGAACGAGGTGGCGGTTTTGGGGACCGGGGTGGTTTCCGGGGTGGAGGTGGAGGTGGCTTCCGAGGTGGACGTGACGATGGCTACAGGTTGGTTCAAACATTTAACATTATCTTCATTTGTGACTTATCTCTCTACAGGGGTGGTCGAGGCGGGGGCGTTGGTTACCACGGAGGTGGATTTGGCGGTGATGCTCCTGCTAATGGCTTCGGCCCTCCAGGTGCACAAGCTCCTGGTGGTCCCGGTGGCTTTGGCGGTCCTCCACAACAAGGCTATGGACCACCAGGAGGCGGCTTCGGTCCAGGTAGAGGTGGATTCCGTGGAGACCTCAAACGTGAAGGACCTGGTGGGTATGATGACAGGGACGCCAAGCGACCGCGATATTAGTTGCGGCTGGGTGAGATACGTCCAGTTTTTTTTTCGGTTCTCTCGAGCTTCTTGCTTCAAGTCCCATGACTCTGCGCTAGGTGGGGTGTGTAAGTACTGAACGCTTTTGTTGTCACATTGCTCTGCAGCCTTTGCGTAAGTATCACTATTTTATTACTAGGAGATTGCCTATTTTTATGGGTGATGATTAAGGCAAGCGTGAGTGTTATACTGTTACGACGGCTTGAGCAATAGCAGTCATGATGTACAGATCTGAGAAGCGTAATAATGACTATTATGTGAGCTACGTACGTTTTATTCGGAGGATTTTCGGGCCAATCAGCGCCTATCAGCGCCCGCCTCAAGGTTCGATCTGAGATCACTGACAGGCCCGTGGTTACGGTCCCTATACGGTACTGTGACGGTAAGTACGTACCCCTTGGTATCGCTGGCGGTGGGCAACCTTGTGCAGCATGCAGTGTTACAATGTCGGTTAGATGTTATGCGTGTCATCTAACTCAACTTTGCTGACTTCAGATACAGTACTTGTGATCAACGGATCGCCGGTAAAACCAGACTAGCTATCGGCTTCTTCGGGAGAGAACGTCACGGATCACAGGCTAGCACAGCCTGAGGCAAAACGTTGACATGTCCGATCGGAAGTCGATCCTTTTGCCTTCAAAAATCTTTGCTGCAAAACATATTTTTGGGGTCTTTGGTATGTTATTATGTAAGTATTATGACCACAGACAGTGAGGCATGCAATACCCTGTTTTTTTTTGAGCCGAAACTGTCCGCGTACTTTTGCTATCGAGAGACACATGGAATGTTATTCGCGAAAAAAGGTTAGTTCTCATGTTGATCATTTCTTCCGAACTGCATAGCAACTCCCGGTGCCGCAACTTTTTTTGTTCAGCCGCACCTACCATCAGTTTGTTTCAGAGACCGGATAAGAAGCTGAATTCTAAGTGCCAGCACACTAGATCGTGATGGCAGCTTCGGGTGCGGTAAGTAAGCTTTGCTTGCTTGACAGACAACGTACAAACATGCGTATCTGCCCGCCAATGGTAGCAGTTCCTGGGACCCATCAAAGATTCAACTCAGCCAGCTACCCGAATCCGACAGATCATTCCAAACTAGTCATCATTGCAAGCAGGATTACAGCATACGGACATGACCCTACCCAAGGATTCCGCCCGTTTAGAACACTGACCATGGAGCAAACTTTATAACGCTCTGCGCACCGCGTTCAAGTTTATCTCACTCTGTCGAAACTTGCCCAAGAGTTTTCTACACAGAACATCAAATTTTATGGATGCGTAGTTCAACCGTCGCAGCACGGAAGTAGACATCTCCCCCAACTACGGTTCCTTGGTTGGTACCCCGATCCGGTGAGTTCCATTATTTTGGCTTTGATTCGTACCTTCCTCTCTCCTTCCATGCGTGAATCTTCCTGCGCGACCCATCATTCTCCTTTCTGACTTACCTTTTGAGTAGGCTGCGTGATCGCCTGATCTGGCGTACGATTGGTCTGCCACCTCTCTGACCGTTTCTGGCTACCTTGTCCTTACAAGGGCCTGAATTGCGTCTCATTCAATTCAACAACTTGACATAAGGGCAATCGATCTCCGGGTTTTTACAACTGCACCAAAAGCCGCCCAAATAAACAAGTAAAAGGGATAACCTCCCTTGCTGCGATCGTCTGCTTTCTGCTTCCTACCTCTGCCGCTGGACTTGGAAGCTGGGTACGAAACCTGTACTCCAGAGCGCATTTTGTGCGTTCGTCTCTGGATGCCTATGGCACGTGCAGGCTATGTTGGGCAGGATGAGCTGCCAAGGCATCCTTTACACTGCGAAAATCTCCATACTTCGTCAGACTGTTCGCCTTCTCCCATTAGTTCATCAGCTCAGTCTCCGGTCAATGTTGGGGCCGTCCGACCCAGCTCCGCGTCGTTATCAGACAGCAACGAGGCAGATTCTGGCAAAGTCCCATCTTCTGGTCCAGAGAGGTCAAAGTCCATCAGCGGCGTAGGTGCCAAGTGGGAAAGAGAGAAGCGGAAGCGTTCACGTGTCACTCCTGAACAACTTATCCATTTGGAACGCTTCTTTTCGATGGACAGAAGTCCCACCGCAGCGAGGAGGAAAGAAATCAGTGATTTGTTGGGCATGCAGGAACGACAAACACAAATTTGGTTCCAAAACAGGTCTGTAAATTCTCTGCAGCGCACAAGCACCGCTGATAACGGCCCCTCAGACGCGCAAAGGCCAAATTGCAAGATGGCAAGAAGGGTCGAGGGGACGGCGCTGAAACCCCACCAGATACTCCCCCAGAATTGGCGACCGGATATGAAGCAGAGTTACATAGCCTCATACACGAAGACGAACGTAAGTTGCCAAACTTTTGGAGCCTGGTTTCTCTACTTATGCCGTCTTTGCTACCAGCGGTGACTATCATTCCATGTAATGATTTGTCTATAGGGACGTGGCGTCGTATTGCAACCGCTGTAGGGAAGCATGATCTCGTGGCCTACCTGTGTGACGGCAAGCGGTGCTTGACGTGGTTCATCCACTCGGCGGGCTATGGCTTTAAGATGGAAATTCCTTTCGACATTATCGTTCATACAGAATTTACAAACGCGGCGCCAGGGTCAGGACTGGCTTCATTTATCCTTTCACAACCGCCAACTTTTTACCTCGAGTCCTTCTCGAGTCCTGGGCCTACCCGGCAGTGGAAAAAATGTGCGGATTGGACGGAAGGACAACAAGCCACTAAGATCCTGCGTCATGACTTGATAGGTTCAGCGGTACAGCTTGCACACCTTCTGCGCCATCTGAATGCCCATGCTTCTGGGTCGGATATTCGTCTTCATTCACCGTCCTATTACTCCCAGGAGCCACCGCCACCTCTCATGGAGGTCCCCCAACCTCCCATGGCAATTTTAACAGGACCCGCATACCCGTACGGTGGAGATGTCAGCGACTCTAGAAGGGCAGAAGGTCCTGTCCACATAAGGAGAAGATCCTTTTCAGGTGGTACCATGCAATTGAGTCATCTCCATCGCCCTAGTCACCAGCCTCTCGCTGTTGACTTGCCTGTCAATCCGACCCCAGGGCCACACTCAGCCCCGTACGCTTCATCATCCTTCTCACCGTATTCTAACCGTAATCACCCGTCCATCCACCTATCGTCTCATTCACCGATGTTCTCGGAATATGCGAACTCCGCGTCATCGCATAGTGCATCGCAACAATCTCAATCCCCAGTCGATTACGGTCCAACCGATACCCATAGTGTCCCCCCACGTTCCTATTCATCCGCACCAGTGCATCATATGTATGATGGCACTATGTCGATGACTTCTCCATACTCTAGCAATGGACCAACCCCTAGTTCCTCTTCCCAGACACCATTCGTTTCTCCTTCGCCGCCGTTATTGACAACTCCATTTTATCCTCCCACAAATGACTACAGCACACGAGGCTGAGCCTCATTAACTCAATACCTGGTTTACTATATGAATCTGAGATGAACCCTTTGATCAAAAATTGTAACACCCTGGACCTTTGCGCTACTTCGCATGGGTTGCCCAATAATTTTTCGCCTTCATTTGCGGTACAAACTTCATTCACCTTCGCTTTACAAGTTGACTTTTAACATTTTAATACCCTGCACCGCTTCGCTTCCACATCTTTGGTACGGGGTCTGTCATTCCACGCTCCATGGGAAGCATACCTTCCTTCACTGAACGCTGGTATACATCTTTGTTTAATATCTTACTTGTAAACACAAAGACACCTTTTCGTACACCATAGCTTGCACAGTAGATGGTAATAAATCCTCCATGCCAGCCTCGTGATTTCAGGGTCGAGAATGGAGCCGCCTTGATGACATGCAGGTGAGATTGATGAACAACTAAAATGAAAGCACGATTGATGGGACGAGGTGGTATAGATACAATATGCCGACTATATCTGATTAAGTTGCCGCTGCTCGCGTTCTCTGCTCAAGCGGGCACTGTAGGTTTTGCTAATTATGTTGACTGCGAGACCGTGAGCAGCTGCATGCCAAGGTATCTTGGTCAGACACTCACATGTTTCCAGGTAACGTTCGAGGCATCGAGACAAACATGTCTAGATGTGAGGAAATGTCAGCATCTACCTTGCGAACTCTGTGGGCGCACTCACCTCCTCTGAGCTAGACAAGGAGGTCCCAGGTTTCGCTATGCACTTAGCGAAGCATTTCTCGTTCGTTTTCTGAAAGCCTCTGTTACTGTGAATACTAGTAGCGATAGTAGGGACCACACGTTTATAAGCTCCTGCGCGCTAGCAAGGGCAATCTCGGAGCGCACACCATTCATCACGGCTTCTTTTTTTGCAGTCATGTCTACAAAGTACTACGTGCTGAGTAGCAGTTAGAATATAGCTGCGCGTCACATACCTGACGGAGAACTAGACGATGACGACGATTTGAAGAAGTCGGACATGTTGCAGACAACGAGGAGCTAGTGGGATAGCTTGGAAAGTTCCTTCGAACGACTTGGTTGAAGGAAATTTCTTGATGAACTTTGAAGTGACGACGGGTCCTGTACGTGTGTGATTTCGGGAGCAATTGGACACTCTAATGGGCACGGAATTCCGACTGTACTGCGATCGCAGTGATTAAGAGCATACGTTCATGGGTGCACGCGAATCCACCGGACGCAACACTGAATCTGAAGATGCGGTCCCTGACTACTACGAATTGCTGGGTGTCGAGGAATCGGCAAACGGCGACGAGATCAAGGTATGATACGGCTCACATCAACTTTTGTGTCACTGATTCAGTGTCTGTGGTCTAATTATCCTCAAGAAAGCCTTTCGAAAATTAGCCCTTGTTCATCATCCTGACAAGAATAAAGATGATGTCGAAGGTGCTACCAAAAGATTCGCCGCTATTCAGCAAGCATATGAGGTGCGATTTCTCACCCTCAAGGTCCAAGGATGAGTCAAAGGCTCATCGCATGTCGGATCAACAGGTGTTGAGTGATGACCAGGTTGGTACCTGCTATTTATGCGCTCCTCTGTGTCTCTCCTGACTGTACCGTGCAAGTAGGAAAGAGCCTGGTATGACTCTCACAAAGCATCTCTGGCACCAGAACCTGATGCAGAGGCTGTCTTCGAGGAGATCCGAAAAGGCGCCCCACCTCCCCGTGCCCGCGACCGGGGGTTGACTGTCAGACATCTCGCTCGATTTTTTGATGCGACAGTCTGGTCAGGCTTTGACGACAGCGAGAATGTGCGTTCCACGTATAATGCATTGCCCCCATAACCGCAATAATCCATATACTATAATCACTACTCATACTCACCACCACCAGAGCTTCTTCACAATCTATCGCAATCTCTTTACACGCTTGGCACAGGAGGAGAACCTCATCTCCCAGATCGAGTATCCCAGCTTTGGAGACGCCTCCTGGCCTTGGTCCACACCCAAATCAACAAATACGCCCGCCGCACGCAATTTCTATAATGCGTGGCTTAACTTCGCGACTCTCAAGGATTTTGTATGGACGGAACAGTGGAATCTTGCAGAGGCACCCGATCGCCGAGTGCGACGGTGAGTGATAGTGTCTTGTCGCATTATGTGGTCGAACACCTTTCAGGCTCATGGAGAGAGACAACAAAAAGGCCAGGGATGAGGCGCGAAAGGACTATAATGAGACTATCAGAGTGATTGCTTACAGTTACATCTTACTAAAACATTTTCTAAATTTCGGTGCGCAGCAACTGGCTACTTTTATTCGCAAGCGCGACCCGCGATACAAGGTTCATCTCGCTGCACAATCTCAAGCCAACAAAGTCTTATCCGAAGCTAAAGCCCCCACATCTGGGTCCTCCACTCCACGCCCCCAGCCTGCCAAGCCTTATGTAGAGCAAGCTTGGCAAAGAACAGGCGGTATGGATCATGATGCGGATGCTGACCTCGAATGGGCGGCAGGTGAAGGTAACGCAGAGGAATGGGAGTGTGTCGCATGCGGGAAGACGTTTCGCAGCGAAGCTGCATGGGACAGCCACGAGCGTAGCAAGAAGCACATGCGTGAGATAGAGAGACTGAAGAGAGAGATGTGGCAAGAGGAAGAAGCACTCCAGCATGGGCCGGAGGAGGGAGAAAGCGACGAGATCCAGGAGGTGGATGGAGACTTCGATAGCGAGTTCGTTCCTCCACCCCCACCAACGCCTCCAGAGTCGGTACTCGAAAACAGAGACGAAGATGAAGTCGGTTCACCCACAGAGGAACTCCCGGCTGAGGATGACCAACTAGTACGCAAAAAAGAAAAAAAGAAAAAATGCAAGCCCCAAACAAGACCATCAAGCGATGCGCCAGCATCCTCCCCCCCACCAAAAAGTAGGGATGATTCTCAGGAAGTGATGTCTTCCCAGCCTGAGCTTTCAAAACGGGAAAAACGAAAGCTCCGAGAGGCGAAGAAAGCCGCCAATGTTGTCGAGGCAGAACACAGCATGGTCTGCACAATTCCATACGCGCAATGGTTCTCTTGTGTTGACATACTTATAGGTTTGCAACGTGTGCAAATCACCCTTTGAGAGCCGTACAAAGCTATTTACACACATCCGCGAAACAGGACACGCGCTTGCTGAATCCGCCGAAGAGCCGGTGCGAGGGAAGAAAGGGCGCAAGGGGCGATAGTGGCCGGGGGTTGACGATGAAGATTGCCATCGTATACCAGATAGAAAATGGGTCACCGGAACGCATAGCATTTTGACACCCTAGAACTTACACTAGGATGTGCCAAGCTATGAGACATATAATCAGCTTAATAAAATGTCCAGTACAGATGATAAACACACAAGCACTCTACTAGAGCAGCATAAACACGACCAACGTAAACTCAACTATCCCATAAGCTGTGAAACGTCCTCTGGTGGGTATTTTGTCTGAGAGAACGTCAAGAGCCTGAGAGGATGCATCAGCCGAGTTGGCACTTGGAATGAAGCAAGATGAAAAGGAACTGTACAAAAGGAATGAGACTAACCGTTTGAGGCTCTGTATATATTTCCTGCTGACTTCGTCATTCAGCACATGCGCAACCTGGTCTGTGGAGATCTTTTCGCGCGCGGAACGTTCATGGATACTAGCAAGTCATTTAAATGAGACGAACGTGATGGTAAGAGTGGAGGACAAATACGCACCCCACCATCGTAACACCAATCGGCCATGGAGCATTTCCAATGGACAGTCGAAGGTACGAGTCATTTGCTCTCTGATATTGCCGCTTTTGCATGTAATATACTATTTCAGCTATGCGTACAAGCATGTCCGGCGGTAGATTCTAAGACAATCGAGTGTCAGCTCAATGGTTCCACTTTTAAAAAGCAACAAGTCTGTGATGACAACAAATAACGTTTATGTGTGAAGTTTTTATGAGTGGCATAAAGTAAATTCAACATTATATACAAAGACAAGAAATGAAATGATCGAGAAAAGTGGAAGGGTAGACTCACTCGTGAACGAAGTGTCTTAAACAGCGGCTTTAGATACTCGGCAGACTGGACTTGCGTTGCTGCAGCCAGTTTGCCCTGGTGAGTCCGCTTGACATTTTCTGTATCTCCTGTTAGACATAAATTTCACACCTGTGCAAGACATACCTGGTCGTTCATCCATTGCCTCCTCCCATTCCTTGAGCGTCCGCTTGAGTGCGTAGTATATGACGGGGTACAATTTGTCCGGATCTGTCTTTAACAACCCTAGATCCACCATGGCTACACTCCCGGCATTGTTGCTCACTTCTCCGTCATCTTTCTTCTTCCCCTTATCGTTTTTAGCCCTCAACTCCCTCTCAACACTCTCAACATCTTCCAGTGCCTTCCTAAAGTCATTTGTGCCAGCTTTCTCGTGTCCGCGCTCTTCGATGAGTTCGAGAGCACGCAAACGCAGGCGCCGGTCGCGGTCGCTTTCACCAAAAAGTCGGATCGGCTGGCCTTTGGCTCGCAGTCTGCGGATGGCTTCATTGCTGGGAATGTTAAATGAACCCTCTAAAATTGTTGGGTCTGGATCCTGACTTTCCGGTAAAGGGGTGTTAGAAGTGGAGCGCGAGGAAGTGTCGACCTGCTACAGCCCATGAACATACTAGCAGTAAATTTGACAACATGATGTCACCTTTTTCTTCTGCTTGCTTCTGGCTAGTGCAGCGTCCCTCTCTGCCGCCTGCTCCGCTGCCATTTCCTTTTCTTTCTCCTCGCGTGCTCGCCGTTCTTCTTCTTCTTTCATGCGCTCAAGTTCACCGCGACGCACGTACTTGGACGGGCGCATTTCTGCGTCATTCTGAACGTACTTGCGCTTGAGTGCAATTTCAGCTTTGAGAGCATCCATGACGATGTTTAAATAGGAATTAAGTGTCTGTGCAGTTGTGTCACGGTGAAGTCTAAGGTGACATGCTGACTAATCGACATACTCCGTCCAAACCCGACTCAAGTTTCTAAGACCGCATCCATCACACAAAAATGTCTGACTCTGAGGCTGCTGATCTGTCGAGGTCCGTCTACATTATTCTTGTCGGTCTTACTCTATGCTTATAGAGTATTAGCAAATACGTCCTTCAAACTGCTGGCTTTGACGGTGCGTCCTACCCTTCCTTGGTCCATGTTTTACCCCAGCTAACTGGTTTCGGTTGGATACAGCTCGCTTTCCGAACACCAACCAGACGCGTCATTGGTGAGTAGCGATTTATCTCTAGCATGCAGTGTGTGCTACATTACAACAGTTTCCAGAATTACACGGACTACTTTAAGTGCGTCGCCGCCAAGGGTGAAGACTTCGCACCATGCAAACAATTTAAGCGCGCCTACAACTCATTGTGTCCTAGTATGTTCCTTTTCTATTCTGTTGCGTTAATCGTCTTGACTCTTGTTCCTTTAGATGAATGGGTAGGTGTTCAATACCTTGGTGCAGAGCTTGATTCCTTATATATGTCCAGGTAGCGAAGTGGGACGAGCAGAGGGAGAACGAAACATTCCCTGCATCACTCGAGCCTTGATAGTCTATGCTCTTGCACCTTTCTATTCAATGATAGACTCTTGCTTCAGTGATTTTCTGCGAACCTTTGTACGCTGCTTCTAAATTTCCAGGCTTTGGGAACAGTTTCCACTGCCACAATCTGTGATTTACAGACTCCCGCTGTAAGGCATTATTGGCAAATGAAATTGAAGTTCTGAGCTTGACTCCGACGTGTTGTTGGCACGTGAGATCATGGTCACACCGATTTCAACTTAAGCCTTAAGACTTACGTGCATGTCCACACCAAACGATGGATGGGATCAACCTCAACGCTCTGAGCGAGAATGCAACACGCCTTGGGATGAGGATTCAAGAGACAATAGCTGAGCACACCCGGGATTTGTCGTTAACACGGGGCGGGAGCTCATTGTTTGACATGGCGGACGACAAGGCGAAGAATATAACAAAGCAGCTCGAATCAAGCAGCGACCGTGAAAAGTTGGACGCCATGAAACGACTGATCGCGGTTTGTGCCAGTCGGTGTAACATCTGTATAGAAATTATAACATTGCTTCTCCTCAGCTCATCTCAAAGAACCGGCCAGTCTCCTCATATTTCCCTGCTGTAGTCAAGAATGTAGCCAGCCCGAACCTCGAGCTACGCAAGCTGGTGTACATCTACCTCCTTCGTTGTGCACCATCTGAACCTGATCTGGCATTGCTGTCGATCAATACTTTCCAGCGGGATCTCGCTGACCCCAGCCCTCTCATACGCGCTATGGCTCTTCGCGTGCTGAGCGGCATTCGTGTTCCTACTGTTGCTACCATCGTACTTATGGCTGTCCGCAAGTCTGCTGCAGACCCGAGCCCATACGTTCGCAAGGCAGCTGCGTTGGCCGTGATCAAGGTATACAAGTGAGCCTAACCTAGTTCAATATCCATTTCACGAATCACAAAACATATGTATAAAGAGTAGACCAGGCGCACCATCCAACTCTGCTCGATATTATGACAACTCTTCTGCGCGATCGCTCTCCGCTTTCACTTGGGACTGCTGTTCTTGCTCTCGACACCATTGCGCCATCTCGCCTCGACCTTCTCCACGTACATTTTCGCCGCCTCTGCCGTGCCTTGCCGGACATTGATGCATGGGGGCAGGTCGACGTTCTCCGCGTACTCGTGCGATACGTGAGGACCATGTTACCCAAGCCCGTTCCCGCCAACGAGAGACAAGGTGAAGAGGTTGACAAAGATTTGAAGCTCCTGCTAGCCTGCGCGGAGCCACTTTTCATGAACAAGAACCCTGCCGTGCGCACACTGATCTACTTCCACCACGAAAATCTTATTGACCAAGCGATTAGGTTGTTCTTGCTGTCGCACGAGCATTCTACTACCTTGCTCCTTCATCGATGCTCTCAAAGATTAGCGCGCCTCTCCTTCGCCTCCTCAGCGTGTCGCGCGAGGTCGAGCGTGTGGCATTGGCTTATTTACTCGTCGTCGCACGTTCGCATCCAGTACGTGTTTCTGCTAAGATCTGGATTACGGCATTCATCGGTTGACCATTTCATTCTCCTTTCGACTTGACCTTGCATGAATTGCACATCCACCACCTTTGTATCCATATTTAGGTTTTATTCATTACTTCACACAACCGCTTTCTCGTGCGCGTAGATGATGCAGAGCAGGTGAAGCGGAGAAAGATTTCTGTTCTCTTGGCATTGTGCACAGTTGACAATCATCAGACATTACTGCGAGAATTCATGGTACGTTTAGTTCACCTATTTGGAGGTAGGGGTTACTAATTGCCATCCTTTTTGGTTTTCTTCCAATACCCTTTGACTCCACGCCTGGCATTTGATCATATGTCGTTTTGTCCTTACTGTTAAACTCCCATCGGGTATACAGGACTATGCTCAAGACACAGATGACTCTGTTGTAGGAGATGCGATTCACGCCATTGGACGCATTGCCAGCCTCGTTCCCTCATCCACGCCCCAATGCCTCACTGCACTCATGGGAATGATCAACAGCAAGCAAGGTCGGCGCGGTCTTTGAATCTCCTTGTATTTCGAATTTACATGATTGCATAGATACCATCGTCTCAAATGCAGTCCTCGTTCTTAAGTCCCTCGTCCAAAATCAACTTCTCACACCTTCCTCTACCTCAACCACGACCCTCCCAACCCCGTTCTCGTCGCAGCAAGCTCTCCTTACATCATCCATTCCCTCGCTGACGCCATCAATCTCCACTTCATTGTCAGCTGCACCTTTGTCCTTCACGAGCACGGAGTCGACCTCCGTAGCTCAGGCCCCACTGTCCATTATTGCCCAGCTGGCTCAGCGCATTGATGATATCCGGCACCCCCACGCGCGGGCTTGCGTGCTATGGCTCGTCGGTCAATACGGGTCAGTCACAGGCACGAAAACAGCGGTTGAAGGTGTGGCAGACTGGGCGCCAGATGTACTACGCAAGGCAGCGAGGAGCTTCAACACTGAGGTGGGTTTTAACCCACTTCATAATATCCCTGCTCATGCTAACTCATATCAGGCTTCCCTAGTCAAGCTTCAGACACTCACTCTTGCCGCGAAACTAATACTGCTCGCGCCCACGCACCGTATACTGGTCTTACTGGCACAGTATGTTTTCACATTAGCTCGGTACGATGAAGACTGGGACGTGCGTGACCGCGCGAGGATGTTGAGGACACTTCTTGTTGGTGCAGTTACGGGTATTATGGGCAGTAATGATGAGGAAGGCATCGGGGAAAATTGGAATAAGGAAGAGCAGGCAGGAAGGCCGGGTGTGGTGTTGAGAAGGGAACAGGTGACACGAGTGTTATTCGAGGGAAAGACTGGGACGATTGAAGAGGAGCTAGTGGCTGGTGAGTGTGTTTTTGAGTTCTGATTTTGTCGACGAAGGGCTCGTTTATGATTATGACCCACACTTACTTTTCTCACTTTCTCTTCATGTCCAACTAATCCCAGTCCTCTGCAGACGCTCGTCCACTCGGAACGCTTTCTCTCGTGATGGAGAGTGAAAGTTTGCATCTGCACGATGACGATGACGATGAGACTGTAATAGATCTCCCCGAGTGGCTGGAACAGGGAATTGACCCCGCGTTGCGTGATAGTGATGACGACGCACCCCAAGTTGCCTTGTCGGTTCAAGCGATTTCATCCCAGGCAACCTCGTCCCAACGTGTGCCCACACCTGCAGGTTCAACACCAGTTGTGCTCACGCCCATAGGGGGATCGACACCAAAAGACACCAAGGACTGGAGGGATTTGAACAAGTTCTATGCAAGTGAGAGCGAGTCTGAGGATGAGGAGGAAGAGGAGGAAGAGGAAGTTGAAGAGGGGAGTGGAATTGGTGAGCATAGCAGTGAGGACGAGGAGACTTCGGAGGATGAGGAAGATGAGGAAGGAGTTGCAGAACACGATCCTAGTTCGAGTCATGAAAGAACATCATAGCTAATTATCATTGGATCTCAGAACCTCAATGCATACAGCCGTCGTGCACCGAGGCACTCGATGGCTATTAACTTCCCGCCAACAATGCCTAAAAGGTGGCCCACGACAACAAAGCCAAAACACCTTACACGCTTCTTTTCGGAATGAAAGCATACAATTCACGATGTGGAGCAAAGTGTCGGACGGCAATGCCTTGTCATACAGCAAACATACATACAGTAAAGATACCTAAGCTGAGATGGTGACTTCAACCTCAACACCAGGCTCCAAGCTAATAGAAGTCTAATCAAAGAATGAGGAACCGGTAATGGGAACAAAAAAATTCAGACTCACGATCTGCTTAACGACTTCGCTGGAGGAGTGCAAATCAATGAGACGTTTGTGCACCTTGAGCTCGTAGCGGTCCCAGGTCTTCGAACCCTCACCGCAAGGCTAAGGAACACAAAAGTCAATGAGATACAGGTATATCATATAGTTGTGGTACTGACAGTCTTACGGGTTGTGATCTTCAGGACCTTGGTGGGGAGGCGGACAGGGCCCTTGACACGGAGCTGCTTGTCCTTTGCACGGTTGATGAGGTCGGCGGAGACTATATTTGATGGTTAAGTATATCTTTGTGATAAACTGAAGTGCACAAACATTTTTCCAAGTTTTTGACGTTGCTGCTCGTCAAGGTAATACGAATTTTATGAATTTTGGCAGCGGGGACAGCGCCTGCTGCGTCATACTCCTTGTCCTTAGCGACGTAACTCATTCTGGACTAATTTTTTTTGGAATAAGTCAGAGGTGACTAGACAGATGATTAGCAGTTTGAAAGTGATGCTCAAGATATGCGCACCTAAGGTTTGTGTGTTGATGAGAGAGATAATTAAGGTTTACTGAGATTGCTCTTGTATCGGCAAACTCCGGGAGTTCCCATTAGAAACAGTCATGCAAGGCAAGTGTTAGATCTAGCGTACGACAGATCGTCAACTAATCCTGCTCTCCTTCTTAGGATTTAACAAGTATTATCCGCCAGATTATGACCCAGATAAACACCAGAGCTTAAATGCGTACAGAGGTATGCACAATCAATTTCCTGCGCAAAGTTGTTTCTTTCATGGTTCACAGGCAAACATGCGCTCGGTGACAGAGCACGTAAACTGGACAAGGGCATTCTTATAACTCGTTTCGAGCTTCCTTTTAACATCTGGTGGTATGCCTCATAACCATAGCATCTAGAAACAGCGATTTCATAGATTTGTAGTGGAACATGCAACAACCACATTGGCATGGGCGTCCGGTATAATGCGGAGAAGAAGAAAGTCGGTGCCTACTATTCTACTCCAATCTACTCGTTCCGTTGCAAATGTCATCTCTGCGATGGCTGGTTTGAGATCCAAACAGACCCGAAGGTGAGTCAAGCGTGGTTGGCCCTATTTTATAATGTTAATATCACATAGAACACTCGCTACGTCGTGGTTTCAGGTGCTCGTCAGAAGGACGAAGATTGGGACCCCGAGGAGAACGGCGGGTTTGCTATTCACGGTATGTATCGATTTGCATATCCTTCATCATCATCTTACAAAGATTGCAGATACCGAAGGGAAAGCTGGTCCCGCGGATCCCCTTGCAGCGCTCGAGAAGACAACCGAGGCCCAAAATCATGTCGTTAAGGTGCAAATACCACGAATTGAGGCCTTACAGGGTGTTTCAGATCACTATAATAACGATCCTTACACACTTTCATCAATGGTGCGCAAGCGTTTTCGTGCAGAGAAGAAGATCGAGGCACAGAAGCGCGCCGATGATGACACGATCAAAGACAAATACGGCTTACCGGAGGAGTTGAAACTCGTTGAAGATGATGCGGAGGCCAAGCATCAGGCACGAGACGAATGGGCGAGGGCTAGAATGGATTATGAAACAGAGAGAAATAGTAAGAGACCTCGCTTATCGATATCATCTTCACCTGGTTCCCAATCTCGGCCGACATTGGACCCTGTATCTTCTCTGAAGGCTCGCATCCTTGATAATACTCGACGGTCAAGTACACTTGCAACCAAAAGGAAGCCCCCCGATCGAAAAGTACTTATCAAGTAGAGAACACAGATAAAGGACCACTGTACACTACCGTTTCACGCAAAAAATCATTATACTACTGCTGTCTAGATCAGCAGCTCATTAATTCCTACGTTTCGATGATTTCGGAGCAAGATACGATAGCAAATCAGAACAACATTAAGAAATACAGAGTGAGTGAAACATGAAACCAAGATACTAGTAGTATGAATGACAGGACGTAGAGTTGACAAGTCTGATCAGTGTAACGGAGGGCATCACGGACAAGCGAGTATATCCAGCATATAAAAGAAAAGAAGATTCATAAATAAGCAACAAAACAAACCAGGATTCCGCCCCATAATTCCTATCATGAAGTTTGGTAAATTGCCCACGGTTGGTCAAGTGCGGGCATTACACCGTCCCATTTCCAATCTGATGCCTGGTAGTAGGCGGACTCGCCGCCGTCAATCTCCTTGAATGCTCCCATATGAAGGATATCGAGATGGTTGCTTTCCCTGGGCTCCTCGATCTTAGTTTTGCCGGGGGATGATGCACCCTGTGACTGATCAGCATCCGGATTGGACTGTGGGCTAGGGTTCGTGGATGATGGTACGAGGTCGGGGGTAGGAGCTTTCGAGTCTTCCTCGTCTTCAAGAGTAGTGAAACGACTATAATCAATAAACTCGTGGAACTCCAAAAACGCATCGTTAGGGGCCGCTGGAGGCGAGAGTTCCGAAAGTGGTCCACCGATGCTTGAGGGGAATGCAGAGGTGGCGATATGTGTTGGATCTTGAGCTGCACCTTGCAAAATCCGGTCGAGAGTGTGAGCGATGTCGTCATACACGCCGGCGTCTGTCGAGGCAGTCATGGCGACTAGCTCCTTCATCTTATCCATGAAAGCGTTTGCGTCCTCGGCCGTATTGATATTTTCAACCTCCTGGTGCCTCTTGGCGAGTCCCTCGCTAGGCTCTCCCTCCCAATCTTCAGTCTTCACTTTCTTGGGAGATGGTGCGCCCATAGACTCGGGCTGGGTAGAGGGACCTGCGGGAATAGATACATCCTCATCGGCTTGGCGCTTTACGCCAGGGCTAAATGCAGCTGGGGGTTCAGAGGGAGATGCAGTAGGCTGCTTGGGAACACGCTGGACCTTCGCCTTTGGCGGTTTAGACTTGGGAGACTTTGGAGTTTGTGGAGAAGCGGCTGCCAGAGGAGTGGGAGCAGTGGAAGCCGTAGTTGCAGGTGGTGGAGTAGGTGACGGCACAGCACTTATTGTGGCAATGGCCGCAGGGACGGAAGGGCTTGGGGGCACGCGCACAGGAGGTTTCTTGACCATGGGCGGGTGTGGCTGAGGATGCGAAGGTGGGTGAGACTGGTTTGCGGAGGGATGGCGACTTATAGCAGGGGGGGGTTGAAGGGTTTGAGGAGGCGTGGGCTGTGACGGGGGAGGAGGTGGGGGAGGTCGATTTATATGGGAACCACTATGTCCACCCATTTGCTGCGATGTGAGGACAGTTTTCATCAATTGTAACCTTTGTTCGTATTCCTCGTTTGCCTTTTGTATTTGGGTATACATGCTCTTTAGAGTCTGAAAACCGATTATGACTTGTGGCGACCCCACTGGAAAACGAGTTCTTTGATGTGCCACCGTTAACACCTGGAAAGAAAATGTACTTAAGGTGACAAGATGTAGATACAAGCGGAGAGCGCTTACGATTGCAACGAGCCTGCGAATCATCTCATCTGCTCTCAGAACAATCCAGTACATTGGTAGTCTTCCGTCAAGGTCCCGAGTCATTTTTTGAACCTCATCCATTAGCCGGTTGTACTCCATTCGCTGATCATCTGGCAGTGTGACCAGTTGCATTGTTTGTAGTCCTGCAGAGGGTTAGAATCTGGGGCGAGAATGTAGATGTGACGAACCACGGGATGTGAAAATGTGTTTCGTCTGATGGATTATGGTCATTGCATGTGTGATCTGTTCTTGACTTAGTGGTAAAATTCCTCCCGACTGAACAGGCTTCATCTCAGTCATCGGTGATGGTTGCATGCCGTTGGGCATCATAGATGGCTGTCCTCGTTGTGGCGCGGGTACCAGGCTGGGACCAGCAGTCGACATCTGGGTCGAGAAGCCTCCTTGATGTACGGTGGACATACCCGATTGCTCACCGGGCGCCTCGTGATTGGTCACTTGCTGATTGGCCTTCGTTGCCATCATCCGACTGTGCTGGTGCCAACGCATTATGTCCGAACGGTGCCGGTCGATCAATGCGACCGTCTGCTCTGGTAAGCCATTTGCACGCATATCACCAACTGACATATGGACGAAACGCGCAGCATTTGCCATGGCTTGCGGATTGAGAGGAGGGCGCATCACGGGGTGGGCCATTTCCCCTGAGGCACTTCCAGGCACATTGTTCTGAGCACCGTTCTGTGACAAATTGTTTTTTTGTGCAGCGCGAGATCTAACGGTGAAGACGAGCATGCTCTCGAAATCCTGCAAGTGCTCTTTGTATGCATGAGCAAGCTGCTGTGCGATGCCGGGGCCACTCTTAGCTGGCTCAGTATCTGTGCCTGGAAATTGTACAAAACCCATGCGACCGCCTATGACCGCCCACCAATCACGTTGAGTGACCTGATTCGTGACCTATGAGTATGCTTCGAACAGTGCAGATTGTCCTGAGCTTACAAATTGAGCGCCGCCTTCGCGAAAGACCTGAACATGCAGGTTATGCAAGTCAACAGAACGATTATCAGGTAACAGAACGTGCACGTTGGGCTCCACGTGACGGTTCTTGCAAAAGGACGTGTACATAGCATCGAAGTGTGACTTGTCAAGAGGGGAGACGCCGAGTGTCGATAAGTTGACCATTCTATTCGGGATCTGACCATTAGCAGCCGATTGGGGATTGAATGGAGCCATGTTCTGTGGCATCGTATTGGGCATGCCCGTAGGGAGCTGCTGGGGAGTAGAGCCAGAGCGTGGGGGTACAGCAGCCGGGCGTTGCATTTGACCACCCTGTCCGGACAGCTGTGAATTCATGGGATGGGCTTGACCTGGCGTTGGAATCTGCGAAGGACCACTAGCTCCAGTGTTCATCCCGAAATTTGAAGCGGGACTGGACGACTGTGGCCAGGGTTGCTGAGGTGCTCCACTACCCTGGGTAACACCTGGTCGACCAGCAGCAGGGGCCATTGCACCTCTACAATGCGTAAATAGGAAGCTTGAACAATATGCCGACCTAACTTACAGATGTACTAGATTTGCTCCAAGTATGCCAGGAGTATTTGAAGCCAACTGGATAGCCTGATTAACTCTGAGGAAGAGAGTCTTGCGGTTTTGAAGCTCCGTGCGCATCTTTTCCAACTTCGCGGTCCATGTTTCATCGGGGAAACCTCTCGTTTGCGTGAGTACATTTTGGATATTTTGCTCCATGATATTTATGGCTGATTGCAAATAATCCCTCCTTTGCATCAGCTCTGCGAGGGTAGGTACCTTCGAGGCTGGTGCCGCCCTCATGTTTGGATGGCCCATTTGGGCCCCGAGAGGTTGTGCCGCCAGATGCGGAGAACTATGCATTGTATCAACGTTAGTCATATTGGAAGATGAAAACATGTCCGAAGGATTCGGCGGACTGGAGCCTGGCTGTGCGCCCATCTGTTGCTGCATATGATGTGGCATTGCAGACTGTGGCGGATGCTGGTTTTGTTGATTGGGAGGACGATCCATGGGGTGCAGCGGACGGCTAGCCAGAGCCTGAATCGGATTGCTGGGTTTCATTTGTGGGGTATTCATAGACATAGAGGAGAAGTTGGGTGGTATGATA